AACTGTTTTTGTGAACTCTTGAAAAGTTTAGATTCTAAACTACCGCGGCTGTATTTTCACAAAAACAGTTTGCTCTATAGTTTTGTATGAGTCCTTCAGTTGTCGACAGCTTTTATTCTAAAAACAAAACTATAAATAAATGTGCAAACATTCACTATTGCTCAAGTCGGCAAACACGATGATCATGGTAAATTGTATTTATTATATCTTCTGGGTAATACTGAAGTATCTAATGCAGAATCAAAATTATTCTCTGCTGGGAAGAGAAAAAAAGTCAAACAATATGCCGGAAAAAAAGGCAAACGATATGCCGGACCTGGAGGATTTTTCCTGAAGAACAGCGGGCGATTTAAACTGCTCAGGACAAACACGACACTCATGAATAACCACCAAAAACATTGATCATCTATGTAATAATAAAATCATTACCTTTTTGAATTTCAAATATTATAACTTAAATATGTACCGTTGTGCTCAAAATTATTCATACCCTTGCTAAATACGATCTAAGGCAGCCCTGAAAATAAGTCCGCATTGTCTATCCATTTGATCTTTTATTAAAAAATTTTTTTAATCTAACCTTTAATTGAAGTTAAAAAAATTAAAAATAAAAAAAACGTGAAAGTGGGGGGAAATCACAATATGAAACATTTTTTTCTCTAATACACAATGGCCACAATTGTTGGTACACCTAGAAATTCTTATGATTAAAATATCTCTGAAGTATATTTCCATTCATATTTGCATTTTATATCACACCAGGGTGACTAGGAACATGAAATTATCCAGCAATGGCTTCCTGTTTCATAGAAATATAAATATGAGGAACACAAAGGCAAAATTCCCTTAATCATTGATCACAATGAGTAAAATCAAATAATATATTTCTGATGTGCAGCAAAAGATTGTTGAACTTCACGAAATAGACAGTGGCTGTAAAAAAAAGAGCTAAAGCATTGAAAATTCCCATTTCCATCACCAGGGCAATAATTAAGAGGTTCCAATCAACTAAAGATGTTACAATCTGCCTGGAAGAGGATGTGTGTCTATTTTTTCTTAATGCACGGTGAGGAGGAAAGTTTGAGTGGCCAAAGACTCTCCAAGGATCACAGCTGGAGAACTTCAGAAAATTGTTGAATCTCGGGTCAGAAAGCCTTAAAATACGATCTAAGGCAGCCCTGAAAATAAGTCCGCATTGTCTATCCATTTGATCTTTTATTAAAAAATTTTTTTAATCTAACCTTTAATTGAAGTTAAAAAAATTAAAAATAAAAAAAACGTGAAAGTGGGGGGAAATCACAATATGAAACATTTTTTTCTCTAATACACAATGGCCACAATTGTTGGTACACCTAGAAATTCTTATGATTAAAATATCTCTGAAGTATATTTCCATTCATATTTGCATTTTATATCACACCAGGGTGACTAGGAACATGAAATTATCCAGCAATGGCTTCCTGTTTCATAGAAATATAAATATGAGGAACACAAAGGCAAAATTCCCTTAATCATTGATCACAATGAGTAAAATCAAATAATATATTTCTGATGTGCAGCAAAAGATTGTTGAACTTCACGAAATAGACAGTGGCTGTAAAAAAAAGAGCTAAAGCATTGAAAATTCCCATTTCCATCACCAGGGCAATAATTAAGAGGTTCCAATCAACTAAAGATGTTACAATCTGCCTGGAAGAGGATGTGTGTCTATTTTTTCTTAATGCACGGTGAGGAGGAAAGTTTGAGTGGCCAAAGACTCTCCAAGGATCACAGCTGGAGAACTTCAGAAAATTGTTGAATCTCGGGTCAGAAAGCCTTAAAAAAAAAAAAAAAATCAAACAGCCCCCTACATCCCCAAACGTTGTTTGGGAGGGTTTAAAGAAAAATCTAGATAGAAAAAAACACTCATCCAAAAACAAATTCCAGCATTTTATGGAGACATGACTGGAACTTCAAATGGCACTGGCTTCTATGGTAAGATGAAACTAAAAAATTAGCTTTTTAACAGCAAACACTCAAGATGGGTTTGGTGCACACATGAGTAAAAAGGTTCCCCATGCATACAATGAAATATACTGCTGTATCTTCAATGTTGTGGGCCTATTTTTCTGCTGATAAAAAATTAAAAACCAACTGTCCATGCTAGAAATCTTATAATGGGCCGTGGTTGGATCTTCCAACAGGGCAATAATCCAAAAACAAACATCAAAATCAAAACAAAAATGGGTCACTGAGCACAAAACAAATATTCTGCCATGGCCATTCCAGTCCCCTGACCTGAACCCTATAGAAAATGAGTGTGGTGAACTGAAGAGAAGCACCACCAACATGGAGCTGGAAATCTGAAGGGTCTGGAGAGGTTCTGGATGAAAGAATGGTCTCTGATCGCTTGTCAGGTGTTCTCCAAACTCTTCAGGCATTATAAGAGAAAACTCAGAGCTGTTATCTTGGGAAAAGTAGGTTGCAAAAAGTATTGAATAAAGGGTATGATTAATTGTGGTCAATGTGTATTAGAGAAAAATATTTATTTCACTATGAGATTTTCACTCCATTTTAAATTCTTATTCTCCAATGAAAGGTTAGGTTTTTCTAATTTTTTTAACTAAAAGATCAAGAGGATTAATGATACAGATTTATTTTCACAGCAGCATTTGATCATATTTACCACGGGTATGAATAATTTTGAGCACAACTATATATATTTAACAAATAGTTTTAGCAAATATTATGAAATATTTTTTATCAATATATTTATTATATTAATATTATTCTTGGGGACTGGGGAGGGACATTTTATAAACTGAACTAGCTTTGTTTTGTCAAAAAAATTGTCAAATTAATGTATTTTTTGTTTTGTGGACTATATGTAAACTTTTTTTTTGTGACAGCTTATTTAGTACAACACAACTGCTGTTAGTTCCATTTAGGGAAATAATAATTGAGTTATAAAAACAATGGGCCTCATTCATGAAACATTCATAAATATAGGAGTAAATTGAGTAATTTGCATCAGAACATCCCGAAAACTCTCCTCCGAATTCACAAGCACTTTGTACACATCAGATATGATAGTTAAACACAGGGGTGTCCAAACTCGGTCCTGGAGGGCCGGTGTCCTGAAGAGTTTAGCTCCAACCATATGATGCTATTTAAATTTTTCCTTTCTCTTTGGAGTGTTACAAGCTCTTGGTGCATAAAGAAGATCTGTAAAGTTGCAAAGACTAGTCTCAAATCCAAAGAGATATTCTTTATAAAAGTTAAGAGTCACCCACGCCTATCTAAAACGGCTCGTTCTAACACGCCCCCACATGTCTACGTCACGATGTGGGAAGATTTGCATAACGCCGCCCAAATGTTCACACAAAGAAAGAAGGCGTAACTTTTATTCTCGCTGTAGTATTGTTGCCACTGCCGCCATGTCGTGAAGACGCGTGTGTGTTTGTGTTCTGTGTGTTTCGTTGTGAAAGCGAAACTACTTTGTTTGGCCTTCCAAAAGAGGATGATATCCGCTTCGTCATGCCTAGAGCTGATCTGTGCTGGTCGCTGAGGGAATCCATCAACTTAGTGCTGTGGATCGCCGGATCGGCTTTCACCGTGGACGAAGCGGAGTCCAGCCCGGGAGAGTTGACTACAATACCGGCTGCTCTGACTCACAGACTGTAAGTACGTTTTCAATTAAAGGATTCTCCGATCACAAATGCAGACAGGGTTTTATGTTTATGCGGAGCGTTGCAAAGCAACGCTAAAAAGACAGTATAAGTCATTATAATCCGTAATTATGTCCCCACTGTATGCAACAAATACCTTGTTTATAATGGGTTTGAAGGTTTTTGTCTCGTCGCTCCGGCCGGACACGGCATCAACAGTATGTGAGGGGCGTAACATTTCCGTCACATGCTTGAGGAATTCGGCCAATCACAACGCATTGGATAGCTGGCCAATCAGAGCATACCTCGCTTTTCAGAACGATGAGCTTTGTAAAAATCGACGAGTTTCAGAAAGGCGGGGCATAGAGGAGAAACAATAATGTACAGTATGTGGAAAATAATGTGTTTTTTTTTTTACTTTAAACCGCATGAACACATTTCATTACAACAAATACACAAAATAATGTTATTTTTAACAGCATCATATGACCCCTTTAATGAATTCCAATCATTCGTAAATAGGGCGCTGGTGCACGCTCATTCACAATTAGCATAATCCCGCCTATGAATTAGCTACGTAAATTGCGTGTCCAGATACGCAGTGGAATATTCTAGTCTATTTTCTCAGGGTTGGCTCCAGTTTATTGCATAAATGCAAAAAAAAAAAAAACACTAATAGGCCATATGCCTAACAATAAACATTCAATAACGTGTCCACCAAAGCTGAAAAACTGTCAGGCGCTCTTCTTAAAACGGCCAGCAGGTGGTGCTGGAGAACGCTTTGGTGGCACAGCGTTTTTCTAGTCGAGACGCTTTGGTTGCTATGATTTGAAATATTCACGGTAGAAACGTATGACTAGTTTCTCATTTTTGAAGAACACTGAATATTAAACTGCAGTAACCAGCAATATTAACTTCTCTATTGTTGTTCAGTTGTTGTACAAGTAGGATGATTGGTCGGTGTAGCATTTGTCCCGCCCCTCCTCCATTGACTGGACGACTGGGTAAAAAGTGACGGTGACAAGCGCTGCGTTTTACCCAAAACTATAGTTGATCAACTCTCAGCTAAAAGAAAAAAAAAACTGATCAAACGAACTACTGAAATATTATAATGGCAGTGCATGAAATTCAGCATCATCAGTTTGCCATAATGAACACGTTTTACGCACCATTTACATGTGGTAGGGAGCAGGTGTACATTTCTTTCCTACCAACTAACATTTTGAAAATACGAACATTTTCATGAATTCGAAAGTTTACGTCCGAACGATTTACACAAATTCGTTCTGCAAGCGTTTCATGAATGAGGCCCATTGATAAATTTAAAAGCAACAAAAGATCCACCTCAAACGGTTTTGTAAAATGGTTTTATTCCAACACAAAATCTTATCAACATTTAATTTCACAACACAAGTTACTGAATAAAATTGGCCTGAGTTCAAAAGAGAAATACATCAACATATATAAAATATATATAAAAAGTCCAATGGCTCAGAGCAAACAAAACAGTACTTTAGCACTGACACGGACCAAAATTCTATATACCAAACCAAAAAAAAAAGATCTGATCACTGATCAAAAGCATTTTAGTCTTAAACACTCTTAGGTTCACATCTGATGAAATACATCAATATGTTTACAACATCATTCATCTGACTTGCGAGAGCTGATGGGCATTTTAGGCAAGCTTCTGGCAATGAGGGGGGAGGTCAGCCTAATCTTATAAAGAGAAAAAGAACAGGAAACAGGGAGGACTGTGATGATGGAGGGCAGAGGTAGTCATTTACATCAGGCCCCCTGTCTGTTGCTGAAATACATCAATTGTATCCTCATCCTCCATTTCCAACTGGAAATAAAAAAAATAAATCAGACTTTATAGCACACTTAAAGGATGGTGACATTCAGAACTGGACATATCAGTGAACTATACCTGAGCTGGAGTGTCAGTCTCATTAATTGGCTGCCCATCAAACCGGAACCGAATCTGCCGCATTGTTAGCCCCTGTTCAAAACAGAGAAAATGTGAACCTGAGCTTTAAGTGAAGTGTAAACTATAGCATTACCTCCAGCATGTCTTCCAAAATGCAGTCAGTGACCCCTCAACAATTCATGTATTATATAGAATGTCTGGCTTTGGAATGACAGGGCCCAATTTAACTTTAAAAACGTCTTTAAAACATAGGGATGTCCAACCTAGCTCCTGAAAAGATAGGAAATTGATAAAAGATTGGAGATTGACAAAAGATTGGATCTAAGAAGATCCAAATTATGATGCAGGAATGTTCAACTTTCCCGGATTAAGTTTGGAGCGGTGAGGTACGAGGATGTGTGCACATACGTTACACACATAAGGAAAGAGAGAGCGAGTGTGTCACACACGGTCTCTCCGTACAACAGTTTGTTTTTTTTAAATGTCGTGATTTTGAACAGATGTAAACAATGGCAGGAGGCTTAAAAGTATAGACGTGATACCAGCTAAATTTAATTATTGTACTAAAATCGCAGACAAGTACAGTACATACTTTAGACTGCTATTCCTCACTCTGTGAAGTAACGTGAGGGAGGAAACTAGTTGACGTTAGCTAGTTAATTAGCCATGATATGAGCTCGGTAGCAAGCCAAATAGTATTTCAATACTGAAACAAACGGCGGGTGGGTCTCTGTCTTGATCGGGGGTGAAAGAGGGAGAAATGAAGATGACATATATAGTTTATGTTCGACCTGGAAGTATTTATTTAGCGATCGGAGCTAAAACGTCATCTGTATGGAACACCGTTGTGTACGGAACATGGTTAGTCTACGTAACCCGAAAAATACACATACGACAGACTTCGTCTTTTCCGACGGGGGAAAAAGTTCCAGGGATTCACCTCCTTCGTCCATCCCACACACAGGTGACTCTCACTGACTGCTCGCACCAACCGGAGGGAGGGGGGAGGGGGTCGTGTGACTCGTTATGCTCTTTGCTGCACACAACTGAGGGAGTCCTGCACTTTCCGTCTTTGACGACACGTAAAAAAACTGCGCATACCGCAGGAACGGTATTACAGGAAATTTTAGTGGTTTTGAAACCGTGACTTTTCCAAACCGCGGTATACCCTGAAACCGGTTATCGTCCCATTCCTAATTGAAACTGAAATCTGCAGGACGGGAGCTGTCAAGGAGCAGGGTTGGAGATCCCCATCTTGAAAACAACAAACTCTCAAACTTGGACAGATATTGAATGCCTCTGAATTTACATTTATACCAAATTGTACATTATACCTTTTCTTTCTCTGTACTTATAACTGATGACCTTCAACATTTTACCACAACGGATGAAGACAACTTCCTGTTCTAAGCTCAAGAACATGTTTTCACTTATACACTTCCTGCTTTCTTGCAACCTACCAACCTTTTCTCATATTCATACACATATATATATATACAGATAGATAGATAGTGATGCTATCAGTTTGTAATGGTGTAGAGGTTTATAGAAACCTCATCTCAGCTCAGGATGGACGTAGCTTCTTAAAACAAATATTTTGCACATTCTTATCCCTTACACTTAAAAGTCCTTATGAATGATCAAGTCTGTTAATTGGAAGTAAATAGAGTTTGAAATTCCACTGGTTGAAAGAGCTAGGTCCAGCTGAAATCTGGTGAAAATCTAACATTGTTAATGCACTTTGAAAAATGAACAGTAACACAAAGCGGACTTTCCAGAGATGTGTATTAGCCCTAAGCTCTGGGACTTAAGACTAAGGAACAAGACGTGTACCTCATGTGCTACAGAGATCAGATTTTGTTCAAAGGATCTAGGACCACTCTGAGATTTTGAGGTTTCTGCAAACATCTATAAAACCAAAATATCTTGTGCAATGAAGCCCTACCGAGAGTCATGAGAAAGGGCCTTATCTTTTGTATGAGTCTCATAAATCAGAATTAACTATAACCAAAGCTCAATCATAAAAATTCCGATTAGTTTTAGCATGTTAAAGGATTTGAGTGTTTATGCATTTGGTGCACTTGGCAGTCTAGATCTACTACACATGCTGAGCATGTTAGTCATGCCTCTGCATGACTAACAGGTAGAGGGTTTCAGAGGAACTCTGATAACGCAATACTAGACTAACTTACGCTAAATAATGAAAAAGAGTGTTTAAATGTTGAGCAAGCAAGCTCATTTGCTGCAGATACATATAGCTGACATTTTTATCCAAATTATGACCAATTATTTCCAGACATTCATGTTATCTTTACCAATCTCTTATTGGCGAGTATGGCAAGATAATCCTGTGCACCTAAACAAAGGATTATTTTTTGTTAGGGAAGGTAAATTATGCAGTTGCATGTGCCTAAAAACCCTTACCTGTCTCTCACAATATGCTTTCATCAGTTTGCTGAGGGGTGTGTGCCTCTTGATTTTGAACTGAACCACTGAGCCATCCTGCCCGGCTACTTTCAGATTTATGTGGTCATTCTCTGTTTTCACACCCTCCTGAAACGAAAGGTGAAATAAAGTTACCATCAATAATTCTTGTGCAATGGAAAAATCATACACAAAAAAACAAACAACAGTAGCATCTTAGTGATAGGAATCAAAAAAGGTACCAAAACAACCATAAACATATTTTGTGTTTTTATAAAGCGAACAAGATTCCAAAAAAGTGCAGTTTGCTGCTGCACCCATCTAATATAACGTTGTCCCCTGAAGTCTAAGCCATTTAACAATTAATAATGCATTGAACAATAGAACAGAAAAAAACCATACAGTTCCATGCGATAGTGACACCACAACATTGATAAAGTAGGCATTTCTAATTAAGTGTTTACAGCACACAATACAGTAACTTTAGCAGTTTGCCTGTCAGTAAAGCAAACCGCTGAGATTCCCAGTATACTACAAAAAAGCACGAGTACACAGCTTTTCTTTTTCAAATATTAAAGTCTTTCAAAATGTTTGATGCAACAGTTAAAGTCGAGATGAAGAAAGTGGAGTTTATCTGAATACACCTTATCATACACACTTTAAAAACACTAAATAAGTCCGTTATAAATCAACGCAGAAGTTCAAATCAACGTACTGAAACAGCATTGATTGTGTTCGCGAGAGAAGAGCGCTTTCTTGCCTGCGAGCCACATTAGCGTGTTAGCTTTATGAAAGACCATCAACATTTCACTGAATTACGCGAGAGGGAAAAAGGTTCTTTACAAATGGTACCCATTCATCATGTACCAAGATAATTATTGTGCTTATTAGAACATTTATAAAAGACCCCTACACACGCACCTTTGGCTTCTCGTCTGCCATGACTGCCTCCGCCTCTGCCTCAGACACATGAGACGCGCGTAAAGCCGCCGGACATGACGACATTTAAAAACGTCAATTTCCGGAGTCGCATTACTGCCCCCCCTCTTTTTTTTTATTGAACATATGTAAAGGTAAATACACATATTTACAGCTCAAAACAGATTATAACCAGTGTTGGGGAAAGTTACTTTTAAAAGTAATGCATTACAATGTTGCGTTACTCCATAAAAAAGTAACAAATTACGTTACTTCGTTACTTTTTATGGAAAGTAATGCGTTACGTTACTTTTTAAATCTGGACAGGGCTTGCTTGTTTGTTTATAAAATAAAAAAGTTATATTTTTGGCAAATATAAAAGCCTTTCACAGCAACGTGAAATGAATAAGCCTCAGGCTGAAGGGAAAGTAAATTTACGTCCATATAGTAGAATGCAGAAGAAGACATTTCAACACACTTCAGCAATAAAAAAGACACACAAATGTTTGTCTAGAGTAATTTCTGCTTATTAGTATGGTTGAACTGAATCATCGAAGGTCAGAAGTACAAAACATTGGTTAATAGAATGGGATCAAATACATAAAGGATATTTGTGTTGTTTAACATTGAATTATTGCAGGTTTGCGTCATATTCTGAGCTGCATTATTTTTTATTCATTTTGAGGAATACTGAATCTGTGTTTTTTTTTTTGAGTGAGATGAATTAATGCATATTCATATTTATTTTAGA